ACAGGCTGGCTTTGTCTTCCCCTGTTTCCAGTCTTTATGCTAAGCTAAGCTAACCAGTTGATGGCCTTATTTCTAACAAACATATACAGCAATCTTAATATCTATGATCAGCTGATCCAAGAGGGTTTTAAATAGTTTATAAAGCTTCAGAAGAACCAAATCTATCAGACAAATGTAGTTAAGTAGACATGGAAATAGTTAAGTAAATGTTTTTAAGCTACTTTCCCTAAGTTGAGAACTAGTGAAAACTGTACTTCAGTTAGTACATTTAAAAAAACACAGAAATCATTCTTTATTCCTTTTTTTTTAATCCATTGAGGCTTTGTTCAAACTTTACAAGCAGTGTGCAGAGAGGTGGACGAAATACAATTAACATAACACAACAGACAGCTGAGATGTAACATTTACATTTCCCTGGTTTGTTAAACCACTGCAGCCTAATGTTTAATGATCAGATATTGTTGATTCTCCAAGTAACTGTCAATACATGTTGTACCAATATACTATAATTCAATAATCAATCCTGACCTTCCCCTTTAAAACACACCAGAGACCCATCATTTTCCCCTCAATTGAAAATTATAAAAACAAAAATATATATACAGTATTTTACTAATGAAAAAGGAGTGCATTACTTCCACTAGTAATGTCTGCAAGTATGAAACACTTTTTGAACACACAATTCTGAGACAATAAATACTTTTCTTGTCCGCCTGACATATAAAGAAGGGGTAAAAATGTATTTCTGAGTAAATCGTTTTCTGATCACTTCAAGTCATGACGGCAGGTAGTGCAATCCGTAGAATAAACTAGAGTACATTAGAACATACTCATCAGTATTCTATGTGTTTCTATGCGTCTCATCAAGGTGAACCATATATGATCAGATTCTGAAAAATTAACAATGTGTACAATGTACTTCCCCAGTTGAATACATTTATTACATTTAGTGAGAGTGAATATTTCTGTAGAAAATCAAATGGATGTTCTACTCAGTGTGATTGACAGGAGAGATGATCAGAGGAGCAGAGTTTTTACCACTGTTGTTGTTACAAGGACCAAAGTATGGGTAGAGTTTCTCTTTGAAGCAGCAGCCAGTGAAGGAGTAGATCAGAGCTGCAGCATCAACATCATAAAAGGAGACCAGACCCTCCTCATAATCCACAAACACCCCCACCTTCCCAGGCTGAGACTTCAGAGAGAGACGGACTGAAGGTCTAGCAAAAGCTTGGTACTCATTTCCATTCCTCAACCATATCGTCCAGTAACCATTCTGAGGAGTCAGTGTGATCATTCCCTTCCTGTTGATCGACTCTCTGACCACTCCTAAAGTCCACTCAGTCTTCCCTTTAACCTGAACCTCGTAATAAAATCTTCCTGAAGAGAAAATCTGCTTTGCTAAGACACCAGGACACAAATCAAATCTCTCTGGATTGTCTGGGAGATTCTTCCTCACATCACCACAGTTGACTTGTTTTCCATCATCAGACAGGATGAGATATGGATGTGCTGTATCAGGATCAAGAGTCACCTCCACCTCATACTGCTGGACCCTCTTCAGCTCCACCTCAAGCAGCTTCTTCATCTGTTTACTGAGCGTCTCCTCCAGCTGAGTCACAGCTCTCCTCACAGTCCCCTCATATGAAGGTGGACGGACCCTGACTTCTGTCCAGTTCTTGGTGGGTGGAGCAGCGTTCAGGGACGTGAAGCTTTGGAGGAGGTGGAGCTGGTCTTCAGAGCGTGACAGCTGCTCCACCTCAGAGCTTCTCTTCTTCAGCTCAGAGATTTCCTGTTCCAGCTCTTTGATGAAGCCTTCAGCCTGTTCCTCTGTCTCTCTCTGCTTCTCTTTGATGGTGTCGATGAGCTCGGCCTGGCTTCTCTTAACAGACTGCTTCAGAGCGGTGAAGACCTGAACACCATCTGCTATCTCTCTGTCTGCTCCTTCCTTACTGAGCTCCACTGAGCGATTCATCTCCTGAATCTTCAGTCGTCTCTTCTGGATCATCTGCTGAATTTCAGCCTCTGTCTTCCCCAGCTCTGCCTTCTTTCCTTCATATTCTTCCTTCAGAGGAACAACATCATGTGTCTTGTGGTCTAAAACAGTGCAGTGGATGCAGACACACACCTGGTCGGTCTTACAGAACAGCTCCAGCAGTTTATCGTGCTTCATACACATCCTGCCTTCCAGGTTCTCCTCAGGGTCGATCAGCTGATGTTTCTTCAGGCCTGGCCTTGTCAGGTGACGCTCCAGGTGAGTCTCACAGTAGGACTCCAGACACACCAGGCAGGACTTCAGGGCCTTCAGTCTGGTTCCAGTGCAGACGTCACAGGGAACTTCTCCTGGTTTGACAACTTGTTGCTCTGAGCTGCTGCGGCTGGCTTTCTGTTGAGCTGACTGTCTGAACTGAGCAGCCATCTCAGAGATGAAAGTGTTGACCCGCAGCTCAGGCTTTGTGTTGAAAACCTCTTTGCAGTTGGGACACTGACTCGGGACATTTCTATCCCAGTGTTCAGAGATGCAGGCTTTACAGAAGTTGTGTCCACATGGTATGGTGACTGGATCAGTGAACACATCCAGACAGATGGAGCACAGAAACTGATCTTCAGTCAGCAGACAGCTGGCAGCAGACATGTCTCTCTGAAGACAAAACGTGTGAAAAAAACAAAAACTGTAATGTATATATGATTTAACCTGTTACGCACCATCCGCCCGGTACAGGCGGATAAACGCGTAATTTGCAGGAAACAACGTCTAAGGAATCTTAATATTTAATAAACTATGAATGTTTTATATCCATGTAACGGGAAGAAACTCAGCTAACTGATATTTTTAATTTTTCTTTCCAAAAAAAACCCACAATGCTAACACTCAGCCTCTGAATTAGCCACGAGCAAAAAAATGTAACCTAAAACGGCACTTAAACTCACAATAACTCCCTTATTACTTATCCTAGATGCACAGCCAACCACTCGTTTTTGTTCTCCTGGAGACACGGAATCTGTGTAAAAAACCTCAACACTCAGTGATAAACATTTGCGATGCTATAAACGAAAGCGTACATCATAACATGTGGAGCTAGGTAGCTAGAAACGCTAACATGGCTTACCTTGGTCAAAACTGGTCTTCAATGGCATTAAAACGATAAAAAAAACGATGCTGCAGTTAATCCATAGGTTCATCCTATGTATCTGTGCCCTCTTTGAAATTATTTCTGATAATCCATAAGCAATAAAACTGCTTTTTCGTTTCCAAATGCCAGAGCTAGAGATCGCTTCACTCTGCTGCACATTTACATGCGCGCAGCCCCCACCTTTTCTCTTCACAACGTGTGTGTGTGGGAGCCTCCCCCTTCGATTCTATTGGCTCTAACGGTCAGAAAGAGGTGTCAACCATCCAAATCGACCAAGGGGGGCCAGAGATATGGAAAAAAAAACATTTTCACCCAAATCACCTCAGAGGTGGGGTGGTTTTGGCTAAACCTCTCTAAAAAGGTAAAATGTCACTTGTTTTGCATCAATCTTGATACAGGGTACTTATTATATGTTGTACTTTGGATTCCTAAAGCTTTTAGTCTACTAACCCATCATCCAAGGGTAGTTTTCACTATCTGTAAAAAATAATCTTTGGACGGACACTATAATTTACAGTTGTTTACTATGTAAAATCTGAATTTTCTTTAAAATAAAAAACATTTATATTGATTCTGACACTTCTACATCCAACTCTTAGATGTAACCTTGCTTTGATAAAAGAAATTATTCATATAACCCTTTTAGAAGTTAAGTTGTAGTCATTTGTTTTGGGCATGTCATTTTCGAGCCTGAAACATGAAAAACAGGCTTGGTGCTTAACAGGTTAATCTCTTGTATCTGTTTGCTATAAGTCAAATAGATGGTGATACTGAACTCTGCTGATGTATCATGATTATGCAGAGGGTGAAAGATTGCTCAAATTTGCAGTACACTGTTATTGTTACATTTTTTTTAAATCTCTCTGTTTGTTAAATATCATAAATGAAATCTGGAAAATCATAGCAGCATTCGGTTTAAACTCTAAGAAACACAATGTGTAAGCTCTAATATTACATTACACTACATGTCACTTGTTAGACGTTTTTATCCAAAGCGACTTACATACTCAATATTCAGGAACAATTTGGGGTGAAGTGTCTTGCCCAGGCAGTGACACAATGACATGCTGACTGCAGTGTGGTTTGAACCTTTGACCCCCTGATCCCAACACCAAGGCTCTATCCACTGCGCCACACGCCTCCTTAAACCTAATACTGTTGGGGGATTTTGCCATTGTTGAACAGAGGAGTGAAACCTCCTGCTGAGCATCACTGAAGTTAATACTAGTTGTTAAAAAACAGTAAACGTTATCAGCTTCAAAAGGCAGACAGCAGTTACTACAGAAACAGGTTCAAAGCTCAAGGCTACTTACCACAGTGTGTACACATTATATAAGAGGAAATATCTAATTGCCATGCCTTTTTATAAGCAAAACGTGTAACACAACACCAGATCCCTTGCTTTGGAGAGTCCAGAACAAATCTACTATTTAGATTCTACTTTGTTGAATAGATTCAATTATAAAAATGTTTTCAAATACAGGAAATATGAAAATATGAAAATAAGTATAATGCTTTGACTGTATGCTCTCTAACCTAACTTAACCAGAGTTTACATTGTAGTTTTATTTGTGGCTGTTGCTAATGTAAAAGTTGAGGTTTATATCTTAACTGACACATTTATATTGTATACTATTCTTTATATGGTAAACTGATGTAATACAGTCAGATTCTGATTTTAATCCAGCTTTGACTAAATATTTAGTAAGTGATGTGTCTGTAGTGTACTCACCAGTGTTTGCAGAGTCCTGCTGTGTTGTTGATAAAAAGCTTCTGGATTCAGTTGAGTGTTTCTTCAGAGAAACAGAGACTTGTCTCGGCTGCTGCTCTGCTGTCGCTCAGACAAACTTCAGCTTTCATTTCCGGGAAATGGAAACTCTTCTCTTACAGTGTGGTCCCACCTCTCAGTGGCTGTTTGCCAAGAGGAAGTGGAGGAAGAACTGTTGAGGCTTGTTATTTAACTTTGTGACGATGCATTTTACAGCTGATCCAAGAGGCTTTTCAAATAGTGTATTGAGCATAAGTAGGAATATTTTCTCAATACATAAAGGACATCACTTTACACATCTGGAGATTTATAGCTATATTTCACAACGCTGTGTTATGGTCCCTGTTTAAGAGCAGCTGGTGAAACACTTCCTCCTCCCTGAACAGACTGTTTGAAAATGGGTCTTGTAAGAAATATGAGGAGTAAAGGCTTGTGGAGTTATACAATAAACACACAACGTCTAAATCCTCTTATTAGATGCGATATTAATCACAGAGGAACGAACCCGGGAGGAAGACCCACCCCCCGTCGAGACCGGCCAATAGGAGAGGACTATAGACTATAACATATGATGGACAGGAAAAAACGCCCTCTCTCTACCCCGGCCACGCGATAAACAACAGCTGGGAGGAGGCAGCTGCACCCCACGCGATCGGGAGAGCCGCACCACTCTTACACATTCCATTTGTATCACCAGTGGCGGCCGGCCCATAGGGGCGCTAGGGGTGCCGCCCCCCCTCTTCCCACATTACAAATTAAAAAAAATAAAAAAAATAAAAAAATAAATATTTAAAAAATATATTTTTTATTTTTATTTTTATTTTTAATAAACAAGCTAAATATTATATAATTGGTATCAGTAAAATGTATAATCTACAATAAAATCTCGTTTAAAATTGTGTTACGATGTCTAAAGTTACTGATAAGTCACATGTTTCCTGCCTGGCCTTGTCCGTGTATCGTTACTCCCTCTCGTCTGGGCGCTATGCACAGCGCCCAGATGAGAGGGCGACAAGTGCAGCAGAAGCCAACTGTTGCTATCTTTAAACTATGCCGCCGAAACATAATTTCAGCCAATCAGCGTTGTCAAATCTGATGGTCACAGGGCTCCTACATGAGCGCCCGGTGCAGTCTGTGAGTTGTTTGGACTCGCATCCAAGGAGACAAAACAGGAAGCTGTCAGACACTCTGGAAGCTACCATTAGCAGCTAATGAAAACTCCGTTTTTGACATAAAAATGGAATTATGGATCATCAATCATTTTTCAAAGTGACAGACACATTGGATTAACCTATGGATTAACCTTCAACTGCGTTTTTCTCGTTTTTGATCAGAATTGTTATTCTGCAAAAGGTGAGCATATCTCCGTGTTTTGCTACCTAAAGCTACGTCGTGTGATGTCTGTATTTGCTTCCCCTGTCGCAAGTTCTGATCGCTCAGTGATGATACTTATATTTCTAGAATCTGTGGAATCTCAGCTTGTAAGCTTGTTTGTGCATATCCGATAAGTATATCGATTGATTTATACCTAGAGTGCGTTAGCATTTTTTGCTCAGGGCTCATTTAGACGCTTCTTGTGAGACTTGTGTTTTGTTTCGGTAAACATGGTTCATATCATCAGTTAGATGCGTTTCCTCTGAGTAGGACACATGAATAGTTTATTACATTTTAAGAAGCCCTGAGACACAGTTTCGTGAGAAAAAAAACGGGGGAAAAAAGCCCCTTAACAGGTTAAATGGGAATTAAATCAGTGTTCCCAAAGCCCCGGTGTTTTGCAGTTTGTGTGGGCCTACTGTACTGTTGCACAGTTTATGCTGTAGAAACTATGTCCAGGACAAGGTGTTTGGAAGTTTTGGAAGATTCATAGCTAACCACACTGAAGTTATGGAGGTATTGATCAGTCTTCTCATATTTTTAAGCCTCAAATTGTCCTTCCCCCCCCCTCTAACATCACCAGAAGTCATAATTTAAGGGGTCTTTTCTCAAAAATGTTTACTGGGGGAGCATCCCCCCGGACCCCCCTAGTATTGTTTGATCACCATTTCCACAGCCCCACCTAAAATATTTTCCACCAGCCGCCACTGTGTATCACCGTATCATTTGTTTAATTAAATGCTGTTCACTTTTAAATAAGCTTCCTTGGACTCTTTTCAGCTAATCCTGCTCTCAGGTTTAAATTATTCTGAAATGGACCAATCTGCATAATGACTACTTTTACTGTCGCTACTTTAACTATATTTTGATGATAATACTTTTCTACTTTTACTTGAGTCACATTTTGAATGAAGGACTTTTATAGAGTATTCCTACACTCTGGTACTTCTACTTTTACTCAAGTACAGATCTGAGTACTTCTCCCACCTCTGAGGAAAAGTCTAAGAACCTGAATGTGACCCTTGACCTCCATTGAACCACAGCTGCTTTGTTTCTTTCTCCTCAGCTTCTCGTGAGCGCTCCATCATCGAGCGCCGCCTGACTTCCTTCCACAATGTTTCCTGCATTCGCTTCGTCAGACGCACGAGCCAGAGAGACTTCCTGAACATCCAGTCAGATGGCGGGTAAAGCTCGTATTTGTAAACCTATTTTGCAAAAAAACAGATTATGATTCTTAAAGGTCTCCTATTATACTATTTTGAGGCATCCTTTTTTTTTATTTCCTGCTTTTTTACACATACTCTCTCCAGTACAGGTTAGCTCTGAGTGTTAGCGATGCTTGCTAATGTAAACAAGACCATATTACGTCCAAAACACGTAGCAACGTTTCTGATAGGGCCGTGGGTGTAAAGCCCGCCCACATTTCCGATATTACGTCATATCGGACGCAAATCTGGATCAGCTCCGTTGTTCCCCCGTTTTTAGAGATTTGGGTACGGAGGAAAAGAGAGAGGGTTTTATTTTCTGACACTTTGTGAGTTCCCTGACACACCGGGGACACATATTTATGTACATAGGACATCACAAAGTGGCTTTTGCATGATAGGAGACCTTTCAATTGTGTGTTTTGCAGCTGTTACTCGTACGTGGGCCGTCGGGGCTACTCTCAGACGGTGTCTCTGGATCGGCAGGGCTGCCTGTATCACAGCACGGTTCAACGCGAGCTGCTGCACGCGCTCGGGTTCAATCACGAGCAGTGCTGCTACGACAGAGACCAGCACATCCGCATCCTGTGGGAGAACATCCAGACCGGTCTGTATCCTCTAAACCGTTCTTATTATAGATCCATGCTCTAAACGTTCAGTAATAAGGGGGATAACGTGCAGCGAGGCGGTCATTATGAAAAAACAACAACTCAGAAGCAGCTTATTAGACGGTCACATACTAAATAAACCAACGACTCACCTCACAATATTGATTTAAAACATATCTGTCTTCCTCTGGTGATTTCTCTGAGGTCCAACGCCCCGTCTTTTAGTCTATTTTTTCCCCCTTGATCCTCCTTAGCAACAGTCATTATTTTGCTTAGCAGCGGTCTGTTATTGAGTATTAACAACTTCTGACATGTCCGAATTGACCAATCAGAATCGAGTATTCAACTAAACCGTGTAATAATAAGGGATAATGTGTTCATTATATCAGACCTTTACTCTAGTCCTGTACTACAATATTATTAGACCCTCCAGAAAAACGCGGGCTAAAATCCTTGATTATGCGGGCTAAAATCCTTGATTATGCGGGCTAAAATCCTTGATTATGCGATTAAACATGCGGGGTTTTTATGTGATTTTATGCGGTGAAGTTGCGAAATATGCGGAAATATGCTAAATATGCGAAAAGTTGCGAAATATGCGGGAGGCGGAAAAAAGGTGATTCTTCTCCCACACCCTGGCTACTACTGAATGAAAGTGAGCCCTTTTAAAGAGTTCCTATGATAAACAAGCATACTAGAAGCAAGCTACATCACAAAGTGTTATTTATGTATTTATGGGCTATTTTAATCACTCTCTCTCTCACACACACACACACACACACACACTCTTCTCCGCCTCATTCTGTTTTCATTTACTCGTTCGTTATCTGACCAGCTTCAATCTTGTAGGCTACTCACCTCGTTTCTTGTAGCCCTCGAAAGGGTTTTGGAGGTTGATGCCTCGGTGAACGTGAGTTGTTTGGCTTTCTTGTCCGCAGCAGCAGAAAGCATTTTAGAATGTTTGAATGAATCAAAGTGGGTCGTCACCGTCGATTTTCTCTTATGCTCCAACACACAGTTGCACGGGGTGCAGAATAGTTTCCCCCCACTTTCGTGCAAGACATCGGGGTACTGCTTTGCCAGGTCTTTAGCAGAAATGTTCGTAGGCAAATGAGATGGATTCGATTTTTTCATCTTGGTCAGAGCCGTATAATAGTATAATAGTATATAATAATAATAGTATAATAGTATATAATAATCTATATGGCGCTGATCTTGTTGTTTTCTCTCTCGTGTGAGTTCCACACATTCACTCTACGGTGTTGTTTACCTGCGCGAGCTGATGACATCACTACTTCACGTTAACTTTTTTTTTCCCTCAACTTTGTGTGGAAAATGCGGGGATTATGCGACCTTTTAATAAATATGCGCCCTTTTAAAAATCTGCGCCATTTTGCTGATTATGCGGTAAATTATGCGATCGCATAATCGCGTTTTTCTGGAGGGTCTACAATATACAAATCTATAACTATCCAAATCTTTATCCTAAAGAAACCCCAAATATAATCACACAATATCCTTAAACATATTATTTTTTGTGATTTTCCCATCATTTCTGTCATTTCTGTCATTTCTGTCACATTTCTTGGTTTAATTTGAACACTGATGAAAAGTAAATCATGCTTAAAGGGGACCTGTCATGCAATATGTGTCAGAAAACACAACCCTCTCTATTTTCCTCCATACCCAAATCTCTAAAAAAGGGGCTGCAACAGATCTGATAAAAACTGATCCAGATTTGAACACTGTCCTGACGTCAGGACAGTGGCGCTACGGCTATTGGGCCAACTCCACCAATCAGGAGGAGACAGCCACGGCCATTGCCGTTCGAAAGCGCTGGAGACGCTGTAGTACATATGCCAGGCCTTTAGATGGTGCTGTTCTCACAGAATCAGCCCTTGCTAAAACAGAGCTAAAAAAAGTGCAAATTGAGCAAAATGAGGCATGGCTAAAATGCATGATCTGTTTGGTATTTTGAAAGAAAAAAAGTATAAATATGCCTTATATAGGTATGGTCCTACACTATATTATTCAAATATAGCATGATTGGTCCACTTTAAATTGACTTACTGTTAGTTGCATTCATAATGGATGCAACTCCATGGGAATACATTGAAATCACAGCCAAATAATGTCACTTTAAATCCTGTATTGATCAACCCTTTCATGTTTTACACTCATCTAATACACAACTAACTTCACAATGATCTGAGGAATGGGGTGAAGTTCATTTTCTGTGTTTTCTGACCCTCGCTGTGATTCTCGTCCCCTCAGGTTGGGCGTACGCCGTCGACAAGATAAACACGCTGAACCTGAACACACCATACGACTACAACTCCGTCATGCAGTACCACAGGTTACCAAGCATTCATCTTCATTTATATACGCATATATTGGATATAAGTCAAAGGAACAGTTCACCAAAAACAATGAATTGTAGACAGAACTGAGGCTTGAATTGCAGTAACGAGAGCCCAAGAAATAAAAGTGCAAAGGTATTTCTACGGACCCAAAAACAGCTAAATATGTTTCAAAAAGGTCCGTTTTTATTTGAAAAAAAAAAACCTTTGGACTACAGGTAGCCTGGACAGGTGAGTAACATTAAGAATTTATATGTTTTTGGGTAAATTCGAATTCTGAGAAAAAAATCTAAATCTTAGAAAAATCTAAATATGAAAAAAAAATCTAATTCTGAAAAAAAGTCTAGTTCTGTGAAAAAGTGACATTTTGAGAAAAAAGTCAAAATCTGCAAAAAAAATTGAAATCTGAGAAAAAAGTTAAAATATGAGAAAATAATCAAATTAGGAGGAAAAGTGAAAATTATGAAAAAAACTCAAATTCTGTGAAAAAGTTTGAATTCCGAGAACATTTTTGAAATTGTTCTAATTCTGAGGAAAAAATATAATTCTGAAAAAAAAGCTGAAAACATTTTGAATAGTCCAACCCGTCTCTTCTTTTATTCTTTTTCTTAATAAAGCAGCTAAATGAAGTTATTACAGCGACAGAATGAATAAACAGTTGGCAAATAATAATGATAGATAATATTTAAATGCATAACATTGATAAGAGTGAAACCAGGATTAAAATAGGTCCCAAGCTCTCAAAAGAAATGCAAAATATACATTTACCTACACTGCCTGATCGGTGTTTTTCTAATTTGCACAATAAAATATGTCGTCATAATAATGAGATAGATCAGATTTGTTTTGGTGACTGAAACGACTCTTTAAGGAACATTTGAGTCTCAATGGTTTCTAAATGTTTAATATATATACAAGCTAATAATAATGAAGCCTCTGTGCTCTTAATGTTTCCAGGTATGCCTTCAGTGGGAACAATATGCCCACCATGGTGCCGATCCCCAACGCCAACGTAGAGTTCGGCACGGCCAATCAGATGAGCAGGAACGACATCAGCAGACTGAACACGCTGTACAAATGTTGAAAGGTAAGAAAACACACGCTGGGTTCCCTTCATTCATCTGTTTTCAGGTCAAAGGAAAGTGTGTTTGTCGCCTTTAACGTGTTTCTTCTGTTCCAACAGGTGGTGAAGAAACCCTGAGGACATGGGGCCAATTTACACATCAAACCTGCTCTTTATAGCACAGTCTGAGAAAGAGTGTTGATAAAGAATCTTCAAACATGTTCGATGAAGTGTAGTTTGTAGTTTGTGCACTTGTTAACACTTTTGTACTTCAGAAAATGTTCCTGATTTTTTTATTCTTCTACCTCAGTTTGAAGAAAGGTGTGAAGAAGAGGTGAAAGATGTGTAAAAGCGGCAGAATCTCTAATGTATAAACTCAAACTCGTATTACTTTTAGTGTCTGTTTCAAATGTTAGCATCAAAACAAACGTAACTTACCAAAAGCACAAAATGGTGCATAAAGGTATATATTATGTAATTGGAAAAGCATCATCAATCATTTGTTGATCTTGTATTTAAGTATTTTTTTAAGTAACTGAAGCTGCCAAAATAATCGTTTTCGAGTCAAAAGTATATATAATATTTGGAGTCGTACAGAAGATGATTAGTGCCACAACTGAAAAGAAAAAGTGAGATCTGACCAAAAGTTATTTCTTTTTTTGTTAGTTAGAATTCTGACTTTTAAGAAATACACTTTTGGTCAAATCTCAATTTCTTTTTTTTTTTAAACATGTGGCCCTAATCTACGGATCTAGAGGATTAGTGCTAAAAGAGGATTAGAGACACATGATTAGGGGCCACATGTAAAATAGTTTGTGAGATCTGACGATAAGTGACATTTCTTCTCAGGGGGGTTCTATCCAATGCAGAAATGGAGATGGCTATCCATGCCTTTATCTCATCCCGGCTTGATTACTGCAATGCTCTTTTTTCCTGCCTCAACAAAACATCAATAACCCGGTTACAACAGGTCCAAAATGCTGCAGCCAGATTGCTCACTCGGTCCAAAAAAACATGCCACATCATTCCGATCCTTTCTGCCCTGCACTGGCTCCCTGTCCATCTCAGAACCCAATTCAAGGTATTGGTCTTCACATATAGAGCTGTCCATGGCCAAGCCCCAGCCTACGTTAACGACCTTATCCACCCTCACAGCACAACCCGGGCCCTGAGGTCCTCTGAGCAAGGCCTCCTAAGGGTGCCCCGAACCAGGCTAAAAACTAAGGGGGACCGTGCCTTTGAGGCGGTGGCCCCAAGGCTTTGGAATGACCTCCCTCAGAAACTGAGAGCCTCTGCCTCAGTAGAGATTTTTAAGGGGCAGCTAAAGACTCACCTTTCCGACAGGCCTTTGGGGCGTCAGAGGAGGTGAGTTAGTAGCTGTTTCTCATTGGAGTTTATCCTATGTTTTACCTGCTGTGTTTTATGCCTTTTATTCTACATGTTATAGTTGTACTTTGAATTGAGTACTGTATACTGTAAAGCACTTTGTGCATTCGTGTTGAGAAGGGTGCTATATAAATAAAGTGTTACTTACTTACTTACTTTACTTCTTTAGACAGGAAGTAAACACAGAATTCAGACTTTTTTTCCAGAATTCTAAATGTTATCACTTCTGTTCAGATCTCAACAAGTATTTCACATGTGGCCCTGATCTTCCTCCGTAAAGTAGAAGTATACATTTGCATCAAATTTAAATTCTCTAACTATGAGATTCAGACTTTTACAAACACGAACTCAATGGGATCCGATTGCTCTTTTTCCACTTACAAAATATATTTGATGTAAGTAAAAGTATCATGACTAAACTATAGAAACACTGAGTTGCAAGAACACAGAACAATATCACAGAACATCTGTATTGGAAAATATATCATTTATATTCCACTTTGCTAACAGTTCCTTTGCTAAGAAATATTGTTTAATATAAAATCAATGAATTTATAAAAGAGTATATTTCCCCCTGTGGCACGTTCCACTCACAGCTGCACACACACACACACACACACACACACACACACACACACACAACACACACACACAGACACACACACACACACACACACACACACACACACACACACACACACACACACACACAAACACACACACACACACACACACACACACACACACACACACACACACACACACGCACACACACACACACACACACACACACCGTCTGACTTCATACTGAGTGTTTGTGGCTTCAGCATCATTTCATTTATCTCTTAGTCTTGTCTCTAGAGCTCAAGGAGGACATTAACTCTAATCGAGGAAATAAAAGGTATTTCTTTTTTAAAACCTCAATAATGTGAAGATGATTTTCCACATCTTTCCCGCTGACACTGTTAGTGGATATGTGGCTGCATAATCCAAAGAAATGAACACAGTGTTTGAATGTTTAATGTTGATATTGATAAACTGCTTTGAGATGAAGCGTTCACTCTGCAGGTCGTTGCTTAAAGACCCTCTGCTTGCAATGAATGAACAACGATGGCTTCGTACAGAAAGGACTCTGATAGTAGAGAATGAAAGTCAGGGGTAATAACACAGTATACTTTATTTGAAAGACAAATTAATACATAAAAACATATTCAAGATAAGTAAAGTAGGCGTGTGGCGCAGTGGACTAATACTCGGATCAGGGGGGCACAGGTTCAAACCCCACTGCAGTCAGCATGTCGTTGTGTCCCTGAGACACTTCACCCCAAATTGCTCCTGTGGGGATTGTCCACAGTATTGAGTATGTAAGTCGCTTTGGATAAAAGCGTCTAACAAGTAACATGTAATGTCATGTAAATTAAAGTACCTCAGAATTTCACTTCAGTAAAGATGTTTGTCCACTAGGGGGCGACACTTCCTCACAGTTCACATGGAAACACCTGGTAGTAACACACCTTTACAGAGCTGCTTTAATGACACAGGTATTTAAGCATCGCCACTAAAAGAAAAACAATTGTTTTCCCTCAGAATGTAAATGGAAAATCAGCATTTACTTTAATGAGAAGTTTCAAATGTACGCCTGAATCCAGAAATGCCAATAAGGAGTCACATTAGATTAGATTACTTTATTGTCATTACATAATGCAAACAGAGTGTAACGAAATGAGGAGGGTCTAACCAGAGTGCAGACAGTCAGTTATATACACATCTACCAGCAGTCTGTACAAAATAAATGATACAAATAAAGGAAAATAGATGTAAAATGTATAAATAAGAATACATACTATTTAAAACACAGCTTGCTCAATCATCCCCAGTGTCATCTACACAGTGATCCTTCTTTAAAGATGGTTATGCAGTGTAAATAAACACAACTAAAGCACAAACAAAAGAAACAAGGTATTATTTATTTATATTTTAACCCTTGTGTTGTGTTCGAAAGCTGTTACCGTTCATGGTGTTCGTGGGTCAGTTTTGACCCATGATTTATCTCAGTCCAAAACACACACAAAAAATTACTATCATCCGATATTTTTTTAACTACATCATAACTAACTTATAATGCATTCATAACCGTACAATCCTGTTGTGATTTAATGTTATGGCCCCAAAACACATCACACCACATATTGCACACATGCATGTGTGAGTTCAGGTTCAAGTGTTAGTGCACATATTCTTTGAGAAAGGTTGAGTTCCCGTGTGGGGGGGGGGGGGGCAGAGGGAGGGGAGACCAGGTGCATGTTGCGAAAAATTATTGTTACAGTTTAAAGGTATGACGATAAAATTGTGCATTCAAAGGAGGATCTTCCTGCACCCAATGAAGCTTCTGTAAAAGGACATTTAATCATTGCTTCATATATATATACATTATACATATATATCACGTATATATTTTACTTTGTATTTACTACACTTTACTAATGAGCAGGTTTTCTCTCAGGAGCCGTCTGTCTCCGAGCTCCTGTGGAGGGCCAACAAGGATGTGGGTGAGTCAACATGCACATTTATGTATTTATATATTCAGAGGTAGAGTGAACATTAATAGACATTTCTAAATGTGCCAAAAACCCTGGACACATATTACAGTCACCCTGAGAAAGAACATAAATAATGACTATAATTATTTGTAGAGACATAATGAGGCAAGGCAAGTTTATTTATATAGCATCTTTCAACACAAGGCAATTCAAAGTGCTTTACAAAAAAGTGCAGCAGAAACAACCTGATACACTTCTTCCAGTATAATTCAATGAACACACATTGAAATATAACCTTTGACCTCATTCACACTGTACAACTGAAGTATTCATAGACAGATATCTGTGTGTTGGGACGTACTATGAGATTGCACATTTGTTCACTGTCTCATAGCATATTTTAGTTTACTCAGTGCAGACAGGTTGTATTGAATCTTGCAGACACTGCCCTTATTTTAACCTCTTATTCCTTGAGCCAACTCCCTATTAGAGAACGTGCTATTCAAGCACAACCCTGTCTCCTAGAAATTACGTTCCCACAAAACTAAACTGCATTCTCAAATACGTTTCGCAAGAAACGTATTTCCTTCCACGTTACGTTTGTTATGAACATATCTTAAATACGTTTATTTTCTACATATCTTCTAGAAACCTATTTTCTCTCACATGACGTTTGTTATGAACGTATCTTAAATACGTTTGCTTTCTACCTATATTTGCCATTTCTTTTCTAGCTTATAATAATGATAATAGTCATTTATTAATATCATTTTAGAGCAAACTTATTTTCGCGCTGGCTGGCGGCTGACTTTTCAGTTGACCAAATCCGTTATTATGCTGGTTAATGGTTAATAATCACAATATTGTTTGTAGTCGTTTCATACAGCATTCTCAATTACGTTTAACAAGAAACGTATTTTGTCCCACGTTACGTTTGTTCTGAACATATCTGAAATACGTTTGCTTTCTACCTATCTTTGACATTTCTTTTCTAGCTTATAATAATGATCATAGTAATTTATTAATATCATTTTAGAGCACACATTTGAAATCGACGATCGGGCTTGATATCCTATGGTTAAATTAAAATCAGTAGGCGAGGCTGTAATTTCGCCAGCTGGAGGCAGAGTTTTAACATGCCAAAAAGCTGCTGTGTCGTTTATTGCACCTCAAACATTAAAACAAATCCAGAGTTACGTGTTTCTGTACTTCCTCTAAGAAGAAAGGACAGTATACAACAGAAGAGCTCTGTGGCTTCAGGCTGATCGCCGTTCAAATGACAGCTGGT